CGAATTTGGATAGACCTAACTAATGGCTAGTCAATATCTCAAGAAATAGGGATTCTCTTTTATTTTGATTGTTTTAGCCTCTAAGAATCAGCTAATCAAATAATCCCTTTTCAAATGTCCAGATCACTCAAATTAATGTTTAGGGCTTAATCAAGATATTTAGTGTCTTCTATTTCATGCGCAAAATTGATCCCCTTTTTTAGTTTTCTTTTTGGTGTTTTCAACAAGTGTCCACATTTGGGATCTTTTACAGGGTAGGTTCAGGACATGGCAGTTTTTCCCCTTTTCATATAATGATCAGTACAATACCCCTTATTAAACCCTCATTCTCATAAAGCAGTCTTTAACTCAAGATTTTAACTTACTTTTCATATTATTAGCCTTAGACAATTCACATAAGAGTTTATACACATAAAATCCCAATTCATCTCAATATCTTTCTACAATAGTTCAATTACCTCTACACCATCCTAAAATTTGTTTAAGGATATATATTATAGTGATTTTTTTGAACAGCATCTAAGGTCCACTATTTTCAACCTATCAAATATGAATCAACTCATTCCTTTATAATGCTAAACTTAAAGAGTGTCAAAATTTACATCGATAAATATCAATTAATCTAGGCTTGTAAATCATTCACAATTCATAAACTAACACATAATTTCAAAAATATAAATCATCACGGCAAGGCTAACTAACATACTCAAACAAGCAAAAAAAAAAAACCTTTTTGGAATTTATAAATTTTTTTGTATATAATAAAGCAGTAAAATTTCACACAATCACACAAAAGAAAAAAAAAATCTATTTTTTCACCCATAGGCTTAAACCAAACATTGCCTCATGTCTCAAAATATTATCAATTAAGTAAAATAAAAGGGCAAAGAAGAAGGTAAGAGACTCAGATTTTTGTTTGATTTTGAAGGCTAGTATGGAATAAAATTGTCACAGCTAGATGATCCACTTATCTACGTTCTTTCCCTTATCTATTGTTCGTTGTTACATTTTCAATTGTCATATTCCTACATAATAAAGAGATGAAATAATTTATAATAATCTCAAACATAATCTATAGGACAATATAGGGATGAAAATATTTAAACTACTAACTAACACACAAAATCAATAAATAATATCTAACCTATTAGAGTTATATTACATTACTAGATTGATTTTACCAGAATTGACCCACATTAACATCTAGCGGCATTTTATTGGTAGTTGGACCAAAAACATTTTTCAATCATCCAATCACAATTTGCCAACTCATTTTGGCAATTTGATTCTAGTAAAATGGAATAACTCAACCTATTATTTTAGAAACTATAATAAATAAAAGGGAAGAAAATCAGGGTGCTTCTCAATAAACGCTTGTTTGTAGTCATTAGCTTAACTTTGGCAATCTACATCATGAAATTCTAAAGAAAGCCTGTAATGCCTTGCATAGTTTGCTTCTTTTGACTTTGATTCACTTTTCGCTGATTCTCCAAATAAAGCACTGGATATTTCAATGTGATAAGACTTGCCTATTCCATCCACTTCAAAATCAACTATGTATACTTGTACCTCCTTCTCAAACTTAATCATAAATTCAATTGTTGGGAATCGATGAAGTCGAAAGAATGTTTGTTAATTTTGTCTTCATCAGTTATCACTTATTTGTTTAGCTCCTTTGTGAATAATTTATCATTCTTTTTATGCTCCTTTTAATAGTTGATGTCCCTTAGGGTTGAATAGTCGATTCCCAGTCCAAATCCATAGGCAATGTTAGCTCTTTCTTTTCAACCATTTCAAGTGAATTATGTCCCTACCTCTTAAATTAAAACCAGCATATCCCATCTCCCACACGCATGTTGCTATCATGAAACTTGGTATGTTTATTAAGCTATTCTGCAAGTACTTTTTTCGTTGGACAAAGGAGGACCATCTCCCACAAGTATGATATCC